CCTCTTTGACCTGTCTGTTTCCTCTCCACCTATCTTCTCCTCTATCCATCTTCTATCCTCCTCCCCCTCTCTCCCTATTTATTTTAGAACCCCCTTCCCCTCCCCATTTCTGATGAAGGGTCTCGGCCCGAAACGTCAGCCTTCCTGCTCCTATGATGCTGCTTGGCCTGCTGTGTTCATCCAGCTCTACACCTTGTTTTCTCACTATAACCTGGTGTCATGTGACTTCTGACAACAGCCAGTAGATGGCATCTAAAAACTTTGAAATATTTATAGAGTCATACGGTGTGCAAACAGACTCTTCAGTCTAACTAGTCCCCACCGACCATGTTCCCAAACTAAACTAGTACCATCTGCCCGCATTTGGCCCACATCCATCCAAATTGTTCCTATTCATGCACTTATCCAAACATTGTAACTGCACCTGTATCCACCACTTCCTTGGGAAGTTTATTCCACATACAAACCACCCTCTGTGAGAAAAAGTTGCCCCTCACATCTCTTTTAAATCTTTCTCTGCTCACCTCAAAAAACACGCCCCCTGGTTTTGAACTCCCCCCACCTTGGAGATCTTCACATGTGAAATTGGTTTACCATGGTTAGCAGCTTTCTTCATCTATAAGTTATAGCTAGCTCACCACATCACTTTGATCTGCATGAAGAAGCCTTTGAAAAATCTGTATTAAGACAACATTCCATTCTTTCTATAAGACCATAAGAAATAGGAACATCGGTAAGCCATTCGGCCCCTCGAGCCTGCTCTGCTATTCAATAGGGTCATGGCTAATCCAACATTCCTCAATGTCCACTTTCACGTCCTTTCCCCTTAACTCTTGATTCCCTGACTGAACAGGTATCTATCTATCATAGCTTTAAACATGCACATGGCTCTGCCCCTACAACTCTCTGTAGCAATGAATCCCAAAGACCCTCAACCCTCAGAGAAGTTGTTCCTCCCAATTTCCATGTTAAATTGGTGCCCCTTTATTCTGGAACAATGTCATCTGGTCCGAGACTCTCCCATGAAGAGAAACATTCTCTCAGCATTTACTATTTCAGGCCCTTTAAGAATCCGATATGTTTCTCTGCAATGTATTCTTCTCAATAACATTAGGTTGATTACATTACAAGCTTAGTTGCATACGCTTGTTATAGAATTAACAACTTCCAACTCCGATGATATACTTTTGAAAGGAGAAAAATGGAAACCGTGTTGTTAATGATCAAACTTAGAAAGTCAATATAGATCAGCAACCACAGCAAACAAAATAGTGGAACAAGACGATGTACCCATTGAATGCTTTATAGAGTGGGATAGACTTTTATTATGAAGTGACTCCACTGACAGCTTGAACATTATTCTCCAACAAATTCATACATTATATGTTCTGCTTCAATTTAACAACAGCCTTGTTTTCTTACCTCACACTTACCACATGATCTAGAAGAGTATGAGTTCCCATTATGTCACATCCTTTTGTACACCTGCTCTGCTTTTTAACAGATTTTATAAAGCTCTTTACGGTCACCCCTCAGCCTCTGATGCTCCAGGAAAAATAACCCCAGCCTATTTAGCCTCTCCCATAACTCAAACCCTCCAGTCCCAACAACATCCCTGTAAATTTTTCCTGCACCCTCTCAAGTTTAACAAAATCCTTCCTATTGAAGGGCGACCAGAATTGCATGCAGTATTCTCAAAGTGGCCTCACTAATGTCTTGTACAGCCATAACATGACGAACCAACTCCTATACTCAAATGTTCTTACCAATGAAGGTAAGCGTGCCAAATGCCTTCTTCACCACCCTGTTCACCTGTGATGCCACTTCCAAGGAAATATGCACCTACACCCTTCGCTTTCTTTGTTTGGCAACACTCCCTAGGACGCCACAGGATAGGGTGAATAGCCAAGGTCTTTTTCCAGGATAGGGGAGTCCAAAACCAGAGGGCATAGGTTGAAGGTGAGAGGGAAAAGATTTAAAAAGGACCTAAAGGGTAACTTTTTCACGCTATTTAGAGGACGGTGTTATTTAGAGGGTGGTACGTGTATAGAACAAGCTGCCAGAGGAAGTGGTGGAGGCTGATACAATTACAACATTTAAAAGGCATCTGGATGGGTATATGCATAGGAAGGGTTTAGAGGGATGTGGGCAAAATGCTGGCAAATGGGACTAGGTCAGATTGGGATGTCTGATCGGCATAGACAAGTTGGACTGACGGATCTGTTTGCACGCTGTATGAATCTATGACTTTATAAATGTTTAAAATTCCCTATTCTGTATTGCTATGTTGATCTTGGGAGTAACAGGTTTGAGGACTGGCCTGTAACGATAATGAGGGTCTCAGCTAGCGTGATACTGAAAAATGACAAGGGCTAAACTGTCTCCGAAGTAAAGGTGAAGAAGGTATTATTGCTGATCGCTATCCACTGCCCTTGACTAAAATTGTCAATGTCAGAGGAATATGGGATTGTGCTCATCAACAGGCTGCCCAGGGTGACATAATAAGAAAATACTTCAATTGGTTACCCTGTCAAAGCAAACTTCCACATCCATGGAACTGAACCATAGGTTCACAGGAGAAGGAAAAAGTGGATACCCAACAACATATTGAATTTATAAGTTCGTCAGTGAGATCATTCCTTAAGTCTATTAACATAACGGTTTAGCAAAGCGTGGAAACACTGCTCAGCCGTCAAATCATTAAGTTTACCACAAGATTATTACCTTTATTTCCTGATGGGTTTAGCTGCCTGTTGTCAATGTTAGCTTCATCACAACTTCTTGGCACTTGGCGTTCCATTGCTTCCACCCCCTGTGTATTCACGAATATTGCATTCTCAAGTTTACAGCAGACTGAAAAACACACAAGCTGAATTACTGGTGCGTCACGTTCACAGCCAAACCCCACATATCAAACATCAACTGACGAATAGTTAGCAACAATGCAATGGTATTTTTCCCTCTAAGCAGTGAACAATTCAGATGGGGTGACTAGGTTGATGTGACAGTAAGCAAGGTTATAAACCACTTTTATCTGAATCGGTTTGGCGAATACACTAGACTAGATGGGGTGAGGTACAGGTAAATCACTGCTTCACCTGAGGGGCGTGGAGTCGTGTGGACCAGGGTGTCCACCTGTCATGTTAACACCATTGAATGTCAAGGAGTGATAGTTATATTGTCTCTTATAGGCAATGGTCACTGTCTGGCATTTGTGTGGCACGAATGTTCCTTCCCACTTGTCGGCCAAGCCTGGATATTGTCCAGATCTTCTTGTATTTGAACATGGACTGCTTCAGGTTCTCAGGAGTCATATGGTGCTGAACATTGTGCAATCACCAGTGAACATCCCCACTTCAGATCTTATGATAGAAGGATGGTGATTGATGAAGCAGCTAAAGATGGTTCTGCCCAGAAAACTTCCCTGAGGAACTCCTGCAGAGATGTCCTGGAGCTGAGATGACTGACCTCTAACAACCACAACCATCTTCCTATGTGCCAGGAACTCTCCAACCACAGGAGAGTTTGCCCCCTGATACCCACTGATTCCAGTTTTGCTAGGGCTCCTTGATGCCACTCTCAGTTGAATGCAGCCTCGATGACAAGGGCTGTCACTCTCACCTCACCTCTGGAATTCAGCTCTTTTGCTCAGGCTCGAACCAAGATCAGGTAACAAGATCAGGAGCTGAGTAGCCCGAGCGGAACCCAAACTGGATGTTACTGAGCAGGTGCTGCTTGGTAGCACTGTTGATGACACCTTCCAGCACTTTACTAATAATCGGGAGTAGATTGATGGGGCTGTAATTGGCTGGGTTAGCTTTGTCCTGCTTTTTGTATACAGGACACCCCTGGGCAATTTTCCACATTATCGGGTAGATGCCAGTGTTATAGCTGTACTGGAACAGCTTTTTCTGGGGGAGAGGCAAGTTCCAGAGCACAAGTCTTCAGTACTATTGCCGGAATGTTGTCAGGGCACATAGCCTTTGCAGTATCCAGTGTCTCCAGCTGTTTCTTGATATCACGTGGAGTGATTCAAATTGGCTGAAGACTGATATCTGTAATGCTGGGGACCACTAGACAAGGCCGAAGTGGATTATCCACTCGGCATTTCTGGCTAAAGGTTGCCGCAAATGCTTCAATCTTATCTTTTTCATTGGTGTTCTGGGCTCTTCTGTCATTGAGGATGGGAATATTTGTGGAGTCTCCTCCTCCTTTGAGTTGTTTAATTGTCCACAACCCTTCGCGACTGGATGTGGCAGGACTGCCGTTAGTTCTGGGATCACTTAACTCTGTTTATCACTTGCTGCATATGTTGTTTGGCGTGCGAATAGTCCTGTTTGGTAGTTTGACACCTCATTTCTGGGCTGCTCCTGGCATGCCCTCCTGCACTCTCCACCAAACCAAGGCTGGTCCTGTGGCTTGATGGTAATGGCTGAGAAGTGACACATAATATTATAAAATATGAACACACTATAAAGTTGTAGACAGGGAGAGAGGTTGAATCTCTTTTGCAACCATGTTGAGTTTTAATTCAATATTATACAATCTTCGTGATCTGAGAAACAAAAGTTTGCAATTAGACTTAGAAGTTAGTGGGTCTCAGAGTGCCTAAGAAATTAGTTCAATTGCATGTGAAAAGTCTTTTCATTAAAGAATTAATCATAAAATAATGAAAGTTTGAGTCCAGGTTTATTACTATGTAACTAGTATTACTGTGCAAAATAATAAACAGAAGACTTCCACAGACGTGTTAATAGTCACAGAAGGTGCATTTTCACTTCTGCAGAGTGAAATATTTCCACATTTGAACCAATTTTCTAAGTCAGTACCTTACCTGAAGGAAACCGCCTGTGCTTCTGAAGAGACGACGAATCTACAAACGTTTGATGGCAGTTGTCACATTTATAGGGTTTCTCTCCAGTGTGACGACGGACATGCACCTTCAGATGGGAACTGCGATAAAATGCTTTGCCACAAAAGCGGCAGGGGTAAGGTCGGATACCAGTGTGGGTGCGGCGATGCTCTTTGAGGTTCCACTTCTCTGCAAATGCCCTTCCGCACACTTCACATGCAAAGGGTTTCTCACCCGTGTGTGTGCGGAGGTGCATCGTTAAATGCTCTTTACGAAAAAATTTCCTTTCACAATAGTCACAGTTAAAACGCTTCTCTTTGTTACAGATCGGTGAGCTGGGATTCAACGTCCTTCTATTCTTATCACCCAATCTAATTGGTGCTTTGTAGTTTTCCAAGTTTAACAGGCGCTCAAAGGAGCATGGTTCATCTTGGGAGAGATTACTGTCCAACTGTTGTAAACCATTGACCAAACCATCCCCAGGTACACTCCACCTTTCATTCTCAAGCTGAGGATTTGGAAGATCACAGTGTCCATTATCTGGAAGAACTCCATTGACTGAAACTGGGAACAAAATAAACAAAAAATGATCTATAACCCCTATCGAAGCAACGGACTCGAATGAAGAATAAACTACTTTTACATGTGGGACAATCTAGAACAAGAGGTCCTAGTTTTAGGATGAGAGGTAGCAGATTTAATACAGAGAGAGGAGAAATTACTTCTCTCAAAGAGTCGCGAGTCTGTGGAATTCACTCCTCCAGAGTGCAATGGATGCTGGGACACTGAATACATTTGTGGAGGAGATAGGCAGATTTTTAAACAGTGGGTTAAAAGGTTAGGAGTGGTGGAGGTACTTTGCATTGGTATTCACAAAGGAGAAGGACATGGTGGATGGTGAGTCTATGTTAACATTCTAGGGCACATTGATATAGAAAAGGAGGCAGTGTTCGTGTTTCTGGTGCAAGTTTACCCCCTGGTAAACCGTCTCTGTACCCTCTCCAAATCCTCCACATGCTCCAGTAGTATAGAACCAGAACTGTACACAATATGCCAAATGTGACCCAACTGAAGTTCTATACAGCCGCAACATGACTTGTCGCTTTTTATACTCTATGCCCCAATCAATGAAGGCAAGCATGCCGTTTGCATTCTTAACCACCTTACCCACGTGTGTTGTGACTTTCAGGGAATGGTGGATCTGAACACCTAGATCCCTTTGTGCATTGATGCTACTAAGAGTTCTGCCATTTACTATATACTTCCCTTCAGCATAACATCTTCCAAAATGCACCACCTTGCATGTGTCCAGACTAAACTCCACCTACCATTTCCCTACCTCAGTCTCCAGCCTATCTAAATGCTGCTGTACCCTCTGCCAAACCTCCTCACCATCACAGCTCTCCCAATCTTTGCATCAGACCACCTACATTCTCCTCCAAACCATTTACATATATATCACAAGCTACAGTCAAGTCCAAGTACAGGGCTGCATGATGCTGCACTGGTTAGCACTGCTGCCTCATAGCGCCAAGGATGTAGGTTCAATTCCAGCCTTGGTTGACTGCCTGTGTGGAGTTTGCGCATTCTCCACATGTCTGTGCGCGTTTCCGCTGGGTGCTCTGGTTTCCTCCCACAGTCCAAAAGATGTGTGTGTTGGGTGAATTGGCTGTGCTAAATTGTCCATCGTGTTCAGAGTTGTGAAGGCAAGGTGGGTTAGCCATGGGAAATGCGGAGTCATGGGGAAAGGGTGGGTCTGGTTGGGATGCTTTTTGGAGGGCAGACTCAATTGGCCAAATGGCCTCTATCTGCATTGTAGGGATTCTATGATTCACTGATCCCTCCGGAAGACCACTAGTCACAGGCCTACAATCTGAAAACACTCTTCCACAACTACTGTCTTCTGTGGCTAAGCCAGTTCTGTATCCATCTTACCAGCTCACCGTGGATCCCATGTGACTTCACCTTTTGTATCAGCCTGCCATGAGGGTCCTTGTCAAAGGCCTTGCTAGTGCACATAGACAACATTGACTGCTCTGTTCCCCATCAATCATCTTTGTCACTATCTCCACTATCTCAAAAAACTCACATAAGTTTGTGAGACAAAACCTTCCTCACAAAAAGCCACACTGCCTATCACTAATAAGTCCATATTTTTCCAAATGTGAATAAATCCTATTCCTAAAAATCTTCTCCAATAATTTCCCAACTACTGACGTAAGGCTCACTGGTCTGTAATATCGTGGATTATTCCTGTTGCCCTTCTTAAACAAAGGAACAATGTTGGCTATTCTCTAGTCTTCTGGGACATCTCCTGTGACTAAACAGGATACAAAGATTTCATACAAGGCCCCAGCAATTTTCTCTCTCAGTATTCTGGGATAGATCCCATTAGGTTCTGGAGACTTGTCTACCTTAATGCTTTTCAAATAACCGTCCTGGACACACCTAACAAATTCTCCCCGTCCAAGTCCTGGCACTAAATGAGTCTCAGTCAACATGTTAAAATGACCCACAACAATAATATTTTTCCATAATCTGTCTACCTATCTGTTCCTCTATCACCCACTGGCTGTTGGGAGGCCTGTAGTACAATCCCAAAGTGATTACACCCTTTCTATACCTGAGTTTTCTACACATATGGCCTCACTGGATGAGACCTCCAAGATGTCCTCCCTCACTGTAGCTGTGATAGTCTCCCTTATCAGCAACTCCCCCACCTCTTTTGCATCCCTCTCTAGTTAGAGTCTTTTTCCCAGGGTGGGAATGTCAATTACAAGCACAACAAAGAGAATAATGTAATTTTAAAATAATGATTGTGATGGCCCAGTGGGAAAATTCTTCAGGTTGGATAATGAAGATTGCATATACAATGGCCTGTATCATGGCGAGGTGCCGGTGTTGGACTGGGGGGTGGACGAAGTCAGGAGTGGGGAGGCAATGGCCTAGTGATATTATCGCTGGACTGTTAATCCAGGGACCCAGATAATATTCTGGGAACCTGGGTTCGAATCCCGCCATGGCAGATGGTGGAATTTGAATTCAACAAATATCTGAAATTGAGAATCTAATGATGACCATGAATCCATTGCCAGCTGTCAGGAAAAACACATTTGGTTCACTAATGTCCTTTAGGGAAGGAAACTGCCATCCTTGCCTGGTCTGGACTACATGTGACTCCAGGCCCACAGCAATGTGGTTGACTCTGAACTGCCCTCTGGGCAACAAATGCTGATAGCCAGCGAGGCTCTCATCCCATGAATGAATAAAGGAATAAAGAATAAAACAGTCACATGAGACCAGGTTATAGTGCAACAGGTTTATTTGAAACCACAAGCTTCTGGAGCGCTTCACATGACAAAGCAGCAGCAATCCAAAAGCTTGTGATTTCAAATAAACCTGTTGCACTATAACCCCATCCCCGCCTCTTTGACCGGTCTGTCTTCTCTCCACCTATCTTCTCCTCCATCCATCTTCTATCCGCCTCCCCCTCTCTTCCTATTTATTTCTTCCGCCATCTGCAATCCAACCCCACCACCAAAGACATTTTTCCCTCTCCACCCTTATCTGCTTTCCAGAGGGACCACTCTCTCCGTGACTCCCTTGTCCGCTCCACACTGCCCTCCAGCCCCACCACACCCGGCACTTTTCCCTGCAACCGCAGGAAGTGCTACACCTGCCCCCACACCTCCTCCCTCACCCCCATCCCAGGCCCCAAGAAGACTTTCCACATCAAGCAGATGCTCACCTGCACATCTGCCAATGTGGTATACTGCATCCGCTGTATCCGTTGTGGCCTCCTCTACATCGGGGAAACCAAGCGGAGGCTTGGGGACCGCTTTGCAGAATACCTACACTCAGTTCGCAATAAACAACTGCACCTCCCAGTCGCGAACCATTTCAACTCCCCCTCCCATTCCTCAGATGACATGTCCATCCTGGGCCTCCTGCAATGCCACAACGATGCCATCCGAAGGTTGCAGGAACAGCAACTCATATTCCGCTTGGGATCCCTGCAGCCCAATGGTATCAATGTAGCTTTCACAAGCTTCAAAATCTCCCCTCCCCCTACCGCATCCCAAAACCAGCCCAGCTCGTCCCCGCCTCCCTAACCTGTCCTTCCTCCCACCTATCCCCTCCTCCCACCTC